TTGGGATCTTGTGTTGAGACAGACACCTGACTCTATGGAAAATGGAGGATTTATTTACATTTAATTTTTATTTTATGTATATATATATATATTGCCTGCATGTAGGTAGGTGCACTGCACTCATGTTGTGCAGTGCCCGCGGAAGTCAGAAGAGGGTGTCAGATCCCTTGGAACTGGAGTTACAGACTGTTGTTAGCTGCCACATGGGTGCTGGGAATTGAACCCAGGTCCTCAGTGCTCTTAAGTGCTGAGCCATCTCTCCAGTCCCAAATTTATAAATTATACAGCCATGAGGTTTAAAAAATTGAATAAAAAATTTCAGATTTACCACATCATTCAAAAAATCAGCTTGGAGAGATGGCTCAGGTGTTCAGAATACTTGCTGTGCAAGCACTGCACCGGACTTTAGATCCCACCACTCAAGAGAAAAGCACGGCCTGCGCATGCCTAGAACCCCAGCTCTGATGCGGGTGGAGACAGGAGGATGACTGGAGTTTGCTGGCTTGCTAGCCTAGCCAAAAACAAAAAATGAGTTCCAGGTTCAGTAAGAGACCCCACCCAAAGAAAGAGATAGAGGAAAACACCACATTCCCTCCTCTGGGCTCGGTGCACTACCACAGGCACACGCACATGCATAGACACATACATATGTATCACACCACACACACAAATCAGCAGTTTCTAAAATAACAACCCACTAACCACGCCACCTGTGGGATAGCGTGTCCCGAGGGGTATGAGGGGCGGGGCCTGCTACAGAGAGTTAGCTATGTACGTACGAGAGGGAGCTGTGAGGAGGAGCATTGGTGCCATCTTGGCAGCAGCGGGCGGCAAAAATGGCCCCGTGTCTCGCCCGCATGGACACGAGAGGGAGCATTTACCCACCTGGGGCGAGACCGCATGCGGGACAAAAGCTAATGGAAACTGTGGGCGGGCCGTGGAAGCAACCGGTGAGTTATATGGTTTGCTAATAGCACCAGGAGCAAGGGACCCTAAGAGAACTTGGGTGACAGATAGTAACATGCATTCTGTTGTATAGGACATAAAGGAACTGCTTCATCTAATTTGAAAATTCATATAAATAGTTCATGTTTGAAAGGTATCAATCACATATTTTTCTCAATATAAACTAAATTACTCAAGATCTTTCTCCTATATAACAACACAGCCATAGGATGTTACTTGTTACCTAACCAACTGTCTTCCAGAGATCCATCAGCTTTTCTTAACCCCAAAATCCCTATGCCCAAATATGATCCACAATTTCAAAAGACAAGGAAAATCATAGCTTCATTATATATTGGCACCAAAGCATTGAGCAGGGACATCCTAGATCTCTTGATTAAGATGTAGAATAAAATAAAAGCATGAAATGTACTTAAAAATAAGACACAAGAAAACATAGGAAGAGATTTTTAACCCTTGTTTCTTATTTAACTAACCCTTTCTTAAATCTAACTGAAAATTAGATTAATTCCCAGTATTAATTCCAAAATGACCTCACACTGGGATTTCTGAACTTGAACATTTTCATCTATAGTACACTTAAAATGTAAGTTTCTCAGGAATTTCCCATGCTCTCCCACAAAAAGCAACAAAATTCCAATGCTTGTCTTTCATTTCTTTATTTACAAAGCAAATTAATGAAACAGTGCTTCACTAACTCTTAGAGATAACTGAGCTGCACTTGTATACCTCAGAATGAGCAATCAATCCATCCATCCTTAGATAGCACAAAGAAAGCAACCTATGCCACTTTCACCTAAACACTGGCACTTCCAAAGTCTTCAGAAGTTCCACTGAATTAGGGCAAAATACAATAGGACAAGACCAAGCAAAACACATCAGTTCTACAAATTCATTAGTCACATTGCAAATTCACAAATAAACAGGTGTTAAGAAACCACACAGATTACAATACCTGGGATTTAGTGCATTCCTTTGAGCCGGAATGAAATGAGTGCCATAAAGGAGGAAAGGAAAAGAGGAACATAATCAGATGTGCTGCACTGCATGTGCCAAAACCAAGATCAGTTTACATCAGGTTAAGAATGCAGTACAGGATTGCTGCATACACAGTGCCCTGTGTTCTTTGGCCATGCACTTGAAACATACTTGCAGTCACTCTAAACCATTCCAAGTATGTTCATGAGGCCCTCTGAAATGAGCAATCTACCTCAGTACCACTGTGCTAGCCAATTTCTTTCCAAGACAGAAATTATTGTTAAGAACAAAACAACATGACTTAGGGCAGGTGAAGGATGGCAATTTCCATTTGATTCATTTTACCATGCCTATCAAATATTTAAAATTATTTGTTTTCCTCATAAAAATTGATTGTTTAGGGCGAACAAATTATATATATGTACATATTTACATACATACATAATTAAACACAACTTACACCTCAAAAAATAAAAACAGCATTCTGAATTATGACCATAATATTGCCAATCTTAACTCATTTAGTAAAATTTAGGTCAGTACTCCACATTTTAGTAAATCAATTATTAATAAAAAAGTTTTCATGTTAATATTGAATGGTCCCCAAAAGTATCTGTTGATCAGGTAATAGACTGTTAAAAAAAATACTTTTCAAAAATCCCATAGCAATACAAAAAAAACTGTACTTTTTTTAGAAACAGAACAAGAAAGGTGAGTCACTTATGGAAAGCTAGTAAAGCATTCCAAAGAAGACAAGATGGGACAAGGAAAAAGGCCATGAAGTGATGGTTCGAGTGTCACAGACAAGCCCATTAAATTAACCCCATCAGCTTTAACGCCGAGAATCAGGTAATCCACATTCCTCCTTCATAGTGTGGAAACTAATTTGAGAAAACCATTCAAAGCAGAACAAACATTAGCAATATTAGTAGCAGGCCAAAATGTTACAATCTACTTCAAAGAATTAGTATTTACAACTTCTAATGCATATGTTCTTCTTCTGTGATGTTAATCTACACCAAAATATCTTTCTTTAATTAACGACAGTAACCAAAAAATTGTGTTTTCCCCTCCTTCCCTCCTTCCCTCTCTCCCTCCCTTCCTCCCTTTTTGGCTTGTTATGTAGCCCCACCTGGCCTGGAATTTGCTATGTAGAACAGGCTGGCCTGGGGTTTGCAGCAATCCTCCTGCCTCTGCTGGATTGCTGAGCACCACCATGCCTAGCTCCTTTCTGGCTTTACCAAGTCTCTCCAACAAACCAGCACAACTGTCTTTGTGATAAACCAAAAGCAATTCTTCCCCAAGAATTTAGTCAAATGATTCTACATGTTAAATTAAAACAGTGCATGGACTGGGCCAACAGCTGGTGGTCAAAACCACATTAAAGACTTAAATTCAGAGAGCGCTCAAGAAATAGAGTGAAATATGTGCATAAAATATATTACCTAAAGTTACTAAAAACTGAGTTAATAATGACTGTCTATATTTTTTCTACACATCTTACATTTGTGCATACCTGCTGAAAGAAAAACTAAGAAATGTGAAAGTTATCAAGTCAACTATCCTTTCATGCATCTGTTCACAGATTAATTTCACATAAGGATGACAATCTACACCATATGCACAGATAAACTATCTTTCATGTTATGATATATCATAAGATTTCAAGATACTGTGGTTTTGAAAAGGAGAAGAATGAGAAAAATAAGGCTCTAAACTAACTTTACAAAGCACTCATTATCTGTGTCTCGGTTTCCCTAAACATAAAAAAGAGTTTACTTATCAAATATTTACAAAATGATTAGCATGCTAGTGGGTCCACGCATTTAAGAGGACCTTTGATTCTTGTTAGGAGAAATATTTCAGAACATCTTCACAATGAAATTTTTGTAAAAAATCATTTCAAGTGATTATTATCTCAGTTCACTGCATTCAAAAAAACTCAGATAATATTTTCACAAGAGTATTAAAAAATCAAAAAAATAAAAGAAAGTTTCACATAACTACTTTTAAAATAAAAGCCATATATTATTCCAGTCATGGGAGGGGGGCACATGGAATGAGGCTAACATCTTGAATTAAAGGAAGAAGACTAAAAATACCAATTAAAATGTGGCATGCTTATCTCAAGACTTATCTTCAGAGAACAGCGAAAAAATAAAAGATTTTTTTAAGAAATAAAAAAACTAAACACTGTCTTTTCACATCTTATTTCAATGCTTTCTAAAAACTTTTCAGGTCAGATAATGTGTGCTTCCACCAAAAAATAATCAAAATGGAAATTTAAATATCTTTTCATAACCCCTCCCCCAAATTTAAGGTCAGTAAAATTTTTACATTTGTGTAACTTACCGTATGATAGCCTCTAGGTAAAGGTGGCTTGCCCACAGGGTAAGGGTCCACTGTGTCAATAATTGTTTGTCGTTCACCTTTCTGGTTGATTTTTCTAAATCTTCTTCGAGACTGTCTATGGGAGGCTTGACGTTGGAAATATTCTTCATTTTCATCCATATAGTCCACCTGAAATAAAACACCCAAGATATTTCATTTCCCCAAATGACATTCTACATTAATATTAGATGCAAAAAGAAACTTACAGTCTACACCCATTCATTGTACAGACATCTGTAGACAAACTAGACAAATGTTAAACAAGTTTGAACCTCTCTGAAGCTAACTTGGCTTTCTGTCACTTTTCTTCTATGAAGAAGCATTTTCAAGTTCCACTTAGAACAACATGGGTTACTCCCGAATTTCCTCTAGTTTTGACAGGAAGGTACTTGCAGTCGTCTTTGTATAGATTTATTAGTGAAAGAGCTCACAGGGTATTACCACATATGATGACTGCAACTACTGCTTGTCTTAACAATAGCACACACACACAAATCTGGTGCATTTGAGAAAATCTGTAAAACACCCCGGAATCCTGATGATTCAACCAACAATGTCAGCAGAGCACTCAGGAAACCAAAGGTTCCTCTTCCTACTTCCACGGCTTTGGTTTCTTTTTGCTTAAGTACTATTGCTTTAAAAAACAATTCCTCCTTTAAACATTTTAGAAGTGCTAATGAATACATTAGTAGAGAACAAGTTACTTTTTCCTCAGTTATATGACAGTGGACTGCTCACAGAGGCATGTTTAGACTCAAGACTATTCTCACACCAGCAAACTCACTAGTTCATGTTAATGCTGGCAAGTATTAAACACTCCAGAATTTCAAAGAAAAAAAAGTTCTGCAAAATTCAAAACCAGCACTAATGGGGGACCAAAATCTCAGTCTAGAGTGCTGGAAAGCCCAATTTTATCTGTCCACTTTTCCCAATTCTAAACTTTACCCATCGTCATCCTACTTTCTCACTTAGTAAATTTTCTGAAATTTGGCCAAAAGTTTTTATTAGTTTTGAAGAGGAAGTTCTTATTGCTGACAAAATTCCTCTCCTACCTCACAGGGGAAATCCCAAATCATCTCTAAAAAATAGATGCAGAGTTGCCTACCAATTAATTCAATGCGAACAAGAGGCTCCACCAGGACCAGTGGTAAGCCATCCATCGCTGCTTTAAGGTTTTCCTTCTCAGACAGTAAGATGAAGGAGGCCACCAAGGACTTCCACACCAAGCCTGAGTCTGGGCTGGGTGCTCCCCATCTCAGCTTAGGCTTGGTTACTGAGTTTTTAAAAGTAGAGTCAATTTTCCTCACCTAAAATCATTTTTAGCCAGTAACAAAGAAGTGCCATAGTTTTTTATTTAATGTTTTATAGAAAATAATTATGCTGCTAATCTCTTCTAACATTATGTACAATGTCTTATGTTAATATATGTTAAGGTCATACTACTGGTAGACAAACCCACTCAATATTCCTCTGGCTATCTTTCAATTAAAGGATTTCAAGTGATTATCTTATGTTAATTGTGATTCACATAAAATACCTAGCTCCATGCAATGGACACTCAGAGCCAAACCTCTGAGTTCAAGTCCTCCCAAATTTCAATTAAAAGATATTATCACAAAACTACAAAGTTCAAACACCAAAAACTAGGTACTTGCTCCTTTTCATCTTTTCTATCTCTTACATTTAATGGAGTTCTGTAATATAATATTATGATTATGCTCATACTCAAATTCATAATTATCAAGTAAATTTGTTATAAAAATATAATACTTATAAGTAGTTTGTGAAAGAATTTTTTTCATAAAAATACTTAAGGAAAATAAGAAGTCCTCAGAGAAATATTCTTACCACAATCATTTCAGAAGGCTCTAACACAATGCACTCACAGCCACGCCTAAAGCTTCCTGCAGAACGCTTGCCAAAACTAGAAAGGGTTTAAAAAAAAAAAAAAGTCAGCTGGGAACAGGTTCAGAGATTAAGAAACATGAATTATGAATTTAAGCCAATCTTGAAATAATAAAAAAAATTTCATTACAAAACTATACACTTAAGATGTCTTTAGTCATTATAACACAGAATGACAACAAAATATTCAAATTCCTATGTTTCAATCAGCTGTGCTTTTCTGGAAAACGCTGTTTTCAAATTAACAGTATAAATAAAGAAGAATTGGTTAGAAACATATTTTGTGTTAGACTTTAAAATCATTCTCAGGTGAAGTTTTAAAATATTCCAATAGAAATAAAGAATACTTTAACTGTAAACTATAAAATCAGAAAGGGGCTGGAGAGATGGCTCAGCAATTAAGAACACTGGTTGTTCTTGCAGAAGACCCCGGTTCAAATCCCAGCACCCACATGGCAGCTAACAACTGTCCGTAACCCTAGTCCCAGGGGATCCGACAGCCTCTTCTGACTTCTGCGGGTGTTGCATGACATGGGTGAACTTACCTACATGCAGGCAATACACACATACACATAAAATAAAAATAATAAAGAAAAATTTTTTAAAAATGTTCAGAAAATATATATTGTAATTATCCTCTTTTCTAATTTAACACGCTCAGATTAAACATTACTTTTATGTAGTGTCCTGGGTACAGTTAACTGTATTATATCATGAAATGTAAACTTTTCATTGTAAACTTAAATTGCAGCTAGGTAGAATAAAACACCAGAAACAATGTGTTAGTGTCGACTTGACACACATGGGTAGAAAGTGCCTCAATTGGTGAATTGTCTCCATAGGACTGGCCTGTGGCCATGTCTGTGGGGCATCTTCTTGATTATTGAGTGATGTGGGAAGGCCCAGCCCACTGTGGGTGGTGCCACCCCTGGGCAGGTGGGCCTGTGTTGTATAAGAAAGCAGGCTGAGCACTGGCCAGGGGAACAATCCAGTAAGCAGCATTCCTCCATGGCCTGTGCTTCAACTCCTACCTCCTCCAGGTTCCGGCCCTGAGTTCCTACCTTGGGCTCCTTGATGAACTGTGACCCAGGAGAAGTAAGCTGAATAAACCCTTTCCTCCCCAAGTTGGTATTGGTCAGAGTGTTTTGTCACACCAATAGAAGGCAGACTAGAACATGTAGGAAGTATATTTATTGTCTAAATTTTCAAATCAATTTATATTAAATGTCTTAAGGAAAAGATGTCAACTCAGGACTGTACTTCCCTAAATTTAAAGTAATCTAAGATGTGCACAGTAAGAAATCCTTCAAGACTCTGCCCTCCCTCTGATCTAGATTCTGTATATGAGAGAGAAACATTTAACATTTGTCTTTCTAAGTTTGGTTTTCCCACTTAATGTGATCTCCAGTTCCATCCATTTTTCTGCAAATGACAACAGAATTTTATTCTTCTTTATGGCTCAATAAAACTCCACTGTGCATACACCACAATTTTAAAAATTTACGCTGTGAGGAAAAAAAAAATTCTTCCAAATAATTTTATTGAGCACCATTTTCCATTAAGTGAATCAGGCATTTTGAGTGACTCTCTATGGAAATTCTTGTTCCTTTTATAAGGCCCTTTGTATCACAGTAATACACACAGAGTTTCATATGCTAGGAACCAAGTTGTGAAAACCAAGAGGAACAAAATAGGAAAGCCAAAATTTGGTTCTATTTGTGCTCTCTAGGGGTTACTTTAATCACTTTATATGTTGAATTTTATTCATTTATGTAGGGTTATCAATTAAGAATAGGCCATCAATTAAGCTTAAAAGCTGCTTTATGAAAATCTAAACCAGAACATGAGTACAGTTAAACACACATTCAGATATACATACTCAATCATACATATTATAGCATGTCTTACAAAGTAGAAAAAATTCTGCCAATAGGCCAGAGAGATGACTTAGCAGATGATCTAACAAGAGGACCAGAATTCACATCCCAGAACCTATAGCAAATGCTGGGTAGGTGTGGTGGCCCATGTAGTCCAGCTTTGGAGGGTAGAGTCAGGGGATTCCCTGGAGCAAGCTGGATAAGAGACTAGCTGAAAAAGAGCTCTGGGTTTGACTGAGAGATCTTCGCCTCAAAGAATGTGGTGGAAGAGTGATCGAGGAAGTTCTTGACATCAGCCTCTGGCTTTGACACACAGGAGCACACATGTGCCCATGTATCCCATGGACTTATACGTGAATATGCATACACATAAACATGAAAAGAAAAAGGGAGGGGGGGGAATCTCTGCTGAGAAAAATTCAATAAATCTATTCTCTTAGCTATATTATTTCTTGTACAATTAAAATGGCCTTAACTTTTAAGTGTTAGTTTTTTAACTATTAAATTCAACCAAATTCTGTAATTCTTCCAAATACACATAAAATATTGTTTCTGGTGTTTTAGTCTCCCTAGCTGCAATTTAATTTTTTACAATGAAAGTTTACATTTCATGATATAATACAATTAACTGAAAACAATTCTGATGTGTTAGTAAAATAGGTTTCACACTACCTTTCTTTTGATCTTATTACATGACTAGGTAAAATATACATATATATGTATATATATATTTATATTTAAGACATTACCAAATGATGTAACATCAAAATATCAGACTGTATGAATGGGGTTGCTGTCAGGCCAATGTCAAAAGTGTAATTAGCAAGTATGCGTCCTGGGTTTCATCGCCAACACTTGTGAGATTCTCATTTGTCATATTTTATTCCATCATGGATCTAAACAATTTTATAAACACAAGGATTGGCTCTTTTTTCAAATATAATGCAATAAAGAAACATAAATATCTGTAATATATACAATGGTCCTGTAATCCTTTGGGAAAAAAGAAAAACCTGCTACAACCGAGGTATTTATGAACTTTAGCAACTAAAGGTGGCAATACCAACATCAGCAGGCCACATGGTCATTTCTCGTACGCAGAGTTATTGTACGAACTTCCCACTTCAGAATTTAAGCTGCAAATTCTCTTACCAACAAGGACTTAGTTTACAGAACTCTGTGGCTAGGAAGCCATACTTTGAGTTGCATTAACACTGTTACTCTGGGGATGCAAAGTTCACATTCCATAAAATGTGCTGTAAAAAATATCCCATGGGAGTCTGTAGGAAGGCAGCTGCAGTAGAACCTGACGAATTCTGCCCAGGTCCTCTAGAAGCTGTCAACAGGGGAAACTAGAATTCTTCACCAGATTAACTTCTTGAATATGGTGAATGGTAGAGGCCAGCAACCCCAGAACACATATGAGCAAGCAGAATCTTTTTATCAAACATAGCCAGCTTAGCGGAGGAGATGGTTTAGTTGATAAGAGTGCCTGCTGCAAGCAAAAGCACCTACATTAGGATCCCTAGCGCCCATCTAAAAGCCTGTAACTATGGCTATGAGTCTACAACCGAGTCAGACAGATCTTCGGAGCTGGCTGGCCAGAAAGCCTGTCTCAGAAAATAAGGTGGATATTGATCAGGGAAAACACCCAGCACTCACTTCTGGCTTCATACATGTACACACACACCTACAATTACAAGTGCAGACACCAGATGTACATATGTATGTATACACACACACACACACACACACACACACACACACACACACACACACAAAGAAATCATAGCCTGAAACCCAGAAGGAGAAAGCCTCAGAGGAGCCAAAGTGTAAGTCATGAATGCACAGTTAGACCTGAACCTTTAAGACAGGGTCTCTGAGCACTCTTTGTTTACTAGGAGAAAGGGAGTGGGGTGGAGACAATGAAGGAAGGAGAGAGGGAGGGATCAGCTAGAAAGTCATTAAGTCCACAGAACACTTGTTTCTCCTGATTCTTAAAATATATATATATATACATATACATACATAAAAGTACATAATTACTAATTATGTACCCAGTTTTAAAAATTATTTAATCAAGTTCTATAAAAAATATTCTGAAAAATCCTTTTCTAAAAAACTAGGTTTTTTTTTTTTTTTTTTTTTTAACAAAAGTCAAATAGACACCTGGAAGAGGCTCAGTCCCCCAGGGAGCCAATCTCTTAGACATTTTAAATGATTTAGTAAAAAAAAAGATGAAGGTTTACATTTTAAGACAGGAAAAGAACCAAAACTCCTAAGAACCAAGTACAAGCCATTTTACAAAGTTTTAAGTAACAGAACATAGTAGAGAATCTAATATGTACAATGAAAGGTTTCATATAAAAATTGATCACGGTCTGGTGAGGTGGCTCAGCAAGTTAAAGGTGCCTGCTGCCACGCCTGACAACCTGAGTTCAAGCCACAGAACCCACATTGTGGAAAGGAGAGAACAGACACCCACAAGTTGTCCTCTGACCTCTAGACAGATGCTGTGGTACACATATACCATCCTTCATCGCAGTAAAAATGCAAAATAAAAATCTGGCTACTATTATGTTAAATAATAAATTTCCATCACTCAACATCACAAATGTAGGACAGGAGAGATGGCTTAGTAGTTAAGAGTATATACTCTTCTTGCAGATGACGTAAGTTCACTTTCCAGCACTGACACTGGGCAGGCACACAACTGCCTGTAACTCCAGCTCCAGAGCTCTGGCCTCTGCAAGCAACCATACTCATGTGCACATACCTCCCCCCAAAACATAAACACATATACAAAGTTAAAAATAAAATCTTTCTTTAGGTTACAAATGAAAACTAGAAGTTTCTGAAGGCTAGCAGGGTTAAACATTATACAATAAAGTGATAAAACAAATCTTACAACAATGGGTATAACAAAAAGGAATTGAAAAACAATAAATACTACACATTCCCTTGTGGAAAACCATAAAAATGTATTCCAGGATATTATCTTAGAAGGCCTTCCAAGTGGAAAAACACAGAACTGAAGTGTTTCCCACAAAAACAAACAAACAAAAAAATTAAAGGAATATAAGGAACTTTCTAAAGTCCAAAGAAACATTCATTCCGTTTTATTAGAAATTGAGATTTGGAC